GTGCACAAAGAGATTTTTAGATATTTTGAGCATAGATTATATATTGTAAAATACCCATAAGTGTTAACTATCAAATACTAAACTGATAATATAATAGTTACAAAATATGTTTTCTAACTTGTATAAAATTAACTTATGTACTAAAACATACAAAACAATATATACAACTTTAAGTGATCCATATTATATATTATTTTCTCGCAGTGTACAGCTATAACCACACTTGTGTCTGCAACTTGTGGTTATAGCCTGGGCCTTTGGATCTGGGCCTGGCACTTCCACTTGTTATTCTACATTGGTTCTCCTTTTGCGGTGCGTGAGGGGAATCTTGGCGAGAAATGGAAAAGAAAATTAACCAAACATCAGGTTTTTATTTACGCTAAATTATGTTCCAAGCATTTGTAGTTACACTTTATATAGACACTGCATAATGGTTATAGTCATGCCATATTCACTGCGACTTTGTAGAGTCTGGTCTGTCTCTCTTGAATTAAAAGGGCATTTTGCCGGTGATGTCATCAAAGTATCATAGACTTAAAGACCTGTTTCGGAAGAGTAGTTTCTGCACAATCTTATAACCATTCCGGATTTATTCGCTTGAACTCAGTTGAACTTGTGGGAGCAGCAAGTGATCTCAGGATTGTAAAAATAATGTTTTCCATTTTTCTTGGGGTTAAGAGTTTTATTTCTGACATCAAATAGTTTCTCGGTATCTGTTCATATGAGGTTGCCAATCTATTTTTTTTTCAAACTAGAAGTGTGCTAAGTTCAGTAAAACTATTTATCAGGCCAAACTGTAACTGCTAGTTTTAAAACTTTCAGTGCTTCTTGACCTTTGGCACCTTGTTTAACTTCGAGGCTAGCCTTCTGGGAAGTATGGATCCTTGGCTGGCTCCATGGGAAGAAAAGAACACCAGTGACATGTTCTTCAGGATTTCCGATTACTCCGGCATGTTCGAATCGTCCGCAAAGAGTTCCCTAATGAAAATTACATTTAAGAACTGGCATTTAAAAACAAAAACTCATCAATCAAAAGCTGTCGACAACCTCTGCAAAAATGGTATTTGACCTCATAGCCACTTAAATTCACCCATTTTGAGCTGAAAACAATTCCCCAATTTGTCACCGATTTCTGGTCCCACTGCTGGCCCCACAAAACCACACATAATTCATAATAATAATCATTCAAAAGTGCGACTGTCATTACCCCAGAAGTTGAGTTCGAAAACAAAACAGAAACGGCACCGAACGGAGTCCGCTGATGATGGCTAAAAACAATGAGTCGCTTGTCGGCTGTTCCATTTTTCCATTTTGTGGTTCTGCCAGATCACGATTGCCCAAAAGATAACCCAGATTCTGTTGTGGGCCCAAACGGAGGAGGACCGTCATTTGGGAGCAATTTGCCGGCAGAATGCAGATCTGGGGATCTGACACGAATCTCGAGTTCAGGTCGCAAATAATTAGAAGTAAACCGGAGAAGGTGGTCCAATAATTACCCCTAGAAAACGCTCCCCAGCTGCGTTTTAACGTTAATAATACACGGCCGGGCCAGAAAGAAAAATGATCTCGATATTTGGCCAGAAATGGAAACTTTCTCGAGGCAGTTTTACTTTCGTCTTCGTCTCGTCAGCTGCTCGCATTCTAATCCAAATCCAAGACAGCTCGGCGGCTCATTAACTGGTTCGGCTGTCTTCTTGGCCAAGATCGTTGGCCTCATTATGCACGGGTCCACGACTCCCCGGCGGTTCTCCACTCGTTCCCTAGTGTTTCCCCAATGGTGAATGCACCGCGTTATGCTCGGCCGCCATCTAGAGATCTGGAGATCTCGCGGTCTGGAGAGTGCGTTCGAAAAGGGAAACGGAAGCCCAATCCCACCACAGATTTATGTATGCCACATGTTAATCAACGTCAAAACGCCACGGCCCACTGTGGGTGAAACTTGAAATTTGAGCAGCCGCCGGCGGTTGCGGTGGTGCAGCATGGTTGTAAAGGCCCATTGAAATGGGTGAAGGTGAAGGCAAAGGCTTGGACTTGGATTTGGATTTGGTCGCCGATTCTTTCAGTTTTGTAGCAGCACTAACAAAAATTACTTAAAAACCTATCTTTGATCAAAATTCATTTTTGGTTTTACTAAAAAAAGGGGGAAAAACAAGACTGAAATATGTCAAAATCCTGGTAAACAAAAAGGAAATAGGAAATATATATTATCATAAAATAAAATACCAATTAACATAAAAGCTGAATACTTTTTGACAATTTTCTCAATAAAAAAAGGCTGATACCCAGTATTTTTTTCCTTACCAATTGGCCATTTTGATTTGCAAATCAAATTAATTTGTGTATCTATTTATTTATGACAACTTACAAATTGTTATTCTTAGTAATTTTTTGGAATCAATTATTTTATATTCGATTTATCCAAAGTTTGTCTTAAAGTAAACAAAAAATTATATGGTTTTTAGATCCTTAATGGTTTTTAAATCACTCAAATCTTTACATAAGGAAAATATTACTTACAATAATGAAATGATGATTTTGATGTTGTAAAATTTTGAAAATTCATCAAAGTAATATAAATATTAATATTTTGTATATCAAAATATTTTTTTAAGTGCATTCTAGTTTGCAGATGAGAAAGTTTATTTATTTAGTATATTGTTGTTTTCTATTTTGTTTGTTCGGCTTTTGCGCGCGCGATCTTAACGCTCACTTGGTTTTTGTGTTCTAATAATGCAAACAAAAGGCCAGACAAACTTTTTGTATCTGATGGCGATGATGATGATGATGATGAAAATCCCAACCTAATGGCTTTTCTATGCAAAATTCTGCGAGCCCCAAGTCCAGGCACTTCAATCAGAAAGTTAAAAAGAACGCCTTTCGCCAGGGTCTCACCGTGGGCACGTCGCAACCAACTGGGTCTGGGGTTTTGGTTTTTGGATTCGGATTCGGATTTCGGACTTGCACTTGGTATTTGACTGAGAGCCTCCACTCCATGTTGGGAAACCTGGAACCTGCAACCGGCAACAATAACAAGTCGAGCCCCCTTTGACTGCAGTTTTATGTCTTGTGTCGGTTCGCATGTTTCATGTTTTATTTGCCGGCTTCCGTTTGAGGCGGAGAACCCCATAAAGTCCAAGAGGGGAACCTTTAAGAACCTGGAGAACCTCAAACGTGCGGAGTTGACAACACTTCGTGTGCCACTTCCATGCAAATCGCCGTCTGACGAGCCAACGTCTTAACATAATTTCGTAATTCTGTTTTACGACCAGAAGCGGAGACACATTTAACATTCGTACTCTTGATGGAATCGTTAAGAACCTATTTCCTAAATTATCTTTCTGATGATGATGACGGTATAAATCTACATTTTGGCAAACTACTGGAGCGGAAGTGGGAACTTGGCATCTATTTTTGATAACTTGCCTATTGACTGACTTTCTTTCCCAACTAAAATGAAGTTTGGGAAATACTTTCAAACGGAAATCAATCTAGGCTATGCATTTATTTAACTTGCTTCGCAGCTATAAATCTTTTTACTATCTATTATTAATAAAAAGCTGTCTGGTGTTGTAAATTTTTATTAGACCTGGTTTAGATTGTAGGCCAGCTAAAATTTTAAAGTAACTCATAAATTTTAAGTTATTTTTGAAAAATGTATATGTTTATTTTTTATACCCTTGCAGAGGGTATTATAATTTCAGTCAGAAGTTTGCAACGCAGTGAAGGAGACGTTTCCGACCCTATAAAGTATATATATTCTTGATCAGCATCACTAGTAGAGTCGATCTAGCCATGTCCGTCTGTCCGTCTGTCCGTCTGTCCGTCCGTCTGTCCGTCTGTCCGTCCGTTTATATGCAAACTAGTCTCTCAGTTTTAAAGCTATCTGCTTGAAACTTTCCCAAAAGTTGTCTTTCTATTGCAGGTAGTATATAAGTCGGAACGAGCCGGATCGGACGACTATAGCATATAGCTCCTATAGGAACAATCGGAAAAATAAATGAAAAAAAATTATAACTTTGCTGTTTTTTAATTTTTTGTTTAGTTCTTTGACATATAGTAATGGTAAAATATTTCTGATTTACGGTTTAAATTTCATCAAAATCGGACGACTATAGCATATAGCTCCCATAGGAACAATCCGAAAAATAAATGAAAAAAATTATAACTTTTCTGTTTTTTAATTTTTTGTTTAGTTCTTCGAGATATAGTAATGGTTAAGTATTTCAGAATTAAGTTTTAAATTTCATCAAAATCGGACGACTATAGCATATAGCTCCCATAGGAAAAAAATTATAACTTTGCTGTTTTTTAATTTTTTTTTTAGTTCTTCGACATATAGCAATGGTTAAATATTTCAGAATTATGGTTTAAATTTCATCAAAATCGGACGACTATATCATATAGCTCCCATACAAATAATAAAAATATATAAATGAACAATCAAATAATTATGCTGCAAATCGTCATAGCTTCAATGTTTTTAAACATATACGCAAGTAAATCATAATTTTAATGCTTTCAAAAATATTTAATTCTTGCGATAGCTGCAAGGGTATATGAACTTCGGCTTGCCGAAGTTTGCTTTCTTTCTTGTTTTTTAACACAATTCGTTTAATCAACTGCTGAAAATAGGTAATGAAAAAATGTAAAAGAATAAAATAATTAATATGTATAATATAATATCAAAATAAGAAATAAATTAAAGTTAGCTTGAGTTATTAAAATCGCATTGATTATCTGTTGATGAGTCTTTTTTATGTACTGTCATTAATAAATATTCAATAAAAAAACAGTGCCACATAATACCTATTAACTGTAGTAGTAAGATAATAATGTCAAAACAGGTAGTAGAGCTAACGCAGTGTTTAAAATTTTGTTTTAAATTCATGTTATAAAATCAGTTGCATGTTCATTTTTAGTCATATATATATGTTATATATTTTTATTTGGTACGCTTACATCTCACCTTTGAAACTATGCCAAATAATACCCAGAAAATGTATTTTGTAGCTATAAATATATATTTTTTTTGGGAATAAATAATTTATACAAAATTCGTAAGCCTAGAGGACTACATACTAATCTCGCTCTATGAGAACTTCCCCTGTCCGCTCGTCCTCCCTCGTGATCCAAAACGCAATTGGAGTTAAAGCTCGGCCAGAGTCGAGTTCGAGATTACAATTATGTAAATCGGAGGATGCCAATCCCGCTGGTACCGTTGGGGTTTTGAGTTGGAAAGCGCAGATCCAGGATTTCGGGGGAAGTGGGGGGCGTGGTTATGCGCAGTCATCTTCAGCTAAATGGAGTTTTCTTTTTTCTTTCCTTCGTTTTTGACATTCAGCAAGACAAGTGGGCATAGCGAGCTGGAAATCGGAGGACGGAGGCGGAGCAGTCGGTGGAGTTTTAGGGGGCAGGAGGGAAGATGAGATGGGGCACCTACAAGGTGCACTGGTACTGCTGCTGCTGCAGAGCACGCGGCAGCGTCTTGTGCGGCAGGTGGGCGGTCAGCGAGGGGGCGGGGCTGCGGGGCGGCGAGCGGATTCGCTGGCGCTGCAGCAGAACGATGCAAATGCTGATGATTATCACAGATAGCGAAACGGTTACCAGCACGCTGCTCAGATGGGAGCCAATATAACGCAGAACGGCTGCACAAGAGAAAAAAATCATACAAAAATCATTTAAGAACATTCAAAGATATAACAGAACATACATACATACATATAGCTTTAAAGTAACAGATTAGTAGTTACAAGTTTTCTGTACATATTTTCTTTGATATGCATGTTTTTAAGCACTAACAATTATAATTGTTATTATTAAAATAATTTACCATTTTAATTAAATTGTTTGGCAGATTCAAATATTTTAAGTCTTATGCTTTAATCATATTGTAATATAGGAATATTGGATAACATTTTTTGTTGTGTATTTGAATTGATTCTGATTAGTAAATATTTGTAGTAAAAGTTTAATCAAGGAAAATAATTAAAAATAGTATAACTAATATAACCATCATCAAAAATAATTTGAGAACGTAAGACCTTCAAATATATATATAACAATTCCACAAATTAATTTTCTTAAAAGGTTTGTCTAGATAAATAACTAAAAATACAAAAATTAACGTTCATCCTCAAAAAAAAAAGATTTAATATTTTCTTTCTCTGTAACTATACGGGTATTAAGGAATCACGATTGTCGCTGACAGGCCACTTACCTTCATCCTCGACGTTACCAGCTGGTGGCGAGCCCACCTCCAGTGGCAACCAGGAGTCGTGGGTCTGGTCCACAACCAGTTTGGCGTACTTGGTGCCCACCACTGACTCCAAATGATGACCCTCCTCCGCCGGCTCCTTGTCAAAGCTATTGACCTCGTTGAGGTTCAGAGCTCTGCCCTGACCTCTGGGCTGAGTAGCCAGCTCCGTGGTGGGCGGCTGGGTCTGCTCCACCACCGCCGCCTGTTCCACAGACTCAGAATCCGATTGGGAATCGGTCTGGGAGTCCGCTGGCTCCCGCAGCACCAGCTCCGTCTTGTTGACGTAGCGCATCTGACGGAGCTCCCTGCCCAAACGCTGATCCTCGTCCGGTTCAAAGGGATCGTTGGGCTCGTAGGCGGCGGCCACTCCGTTCTTGCCGGGTACAGTGAAGCTTGCCCGGACCGTCTGCATGCCCGACTGATAGCTACAGACCACTACAAAGCTGGAATGGAAAAATTAACTTTTAAACATGATTTACTCTTTGTTGTATGGAACTTTGATTAAGTTTTACGTTTTTAACATATAGAAAATTGGGTGTAAGAGAAAGTATGATATTTTCTGTAGAAAGGTTATTGCTATTAATTTTGAAATTAAGTAATTTCTTTTTAATCAAATATGTAGTGAAACATTGTTTTAACAATCTGTTTTTAAACTTATTAGTTTTCTTACCGTCTTGTGCTGTGAGTGAAGATGCCCAGATTCTCCTGCACCGTGATAAAGGTCTCTACCGTATTGGTCTCTGGTTTAACCAAACTTCCACATTCTTTGTGATCGATCCTCATTGTGTACTTGTCCGCTGAATCACTTGCATCGCCCTTGATGCCACAATTTCCACCATCCACGACAATACGTCCTCCAAAATATGGACCGGTCTCCACCTCGATCTCAGAGGCGTGTGGCAAACACTGGGTGGCGTGAGCAGTGACTGAGAAATTTTTAAAACAAATATTTAGAATATTTTGTACACTGCTTTTTAAACATTTAATGAAGTGATTTGCTAAAGAAATTAATTTTTTATAAACTAAATAGGAGTTCCTTTATACCAATTATTGTTTAGCATTTAAAATTTTTGATAATGGTTCTTAATAATAACGTATTAAAATTTTTCCTTTGATTCCATTTATACTTTCAATTTCCAAAACCTGATAATCATTACAGCTTACAAATGTTTTTCTACAAATTAAAGATTCCAAAACTTTTCGAATTAAAATTAAAATTCAATTTTTCCAATTCAGCTCCAATCATAAAAAAATAGAAAGCAGAAAGTAAAGAAGCTTGATAAAAATAATAATTTGCGTCTACTTACAGCCCTTAGTAGGTATGACAATGCTTTGACCAGGCAGGTGTCCCGCTCCACTCTCAATCTCATTTTCGTCGTGAAACTCGGCGCGGGCATTGGAACTTCGAGTACCGCCAGCCTGGAGGCGCCTTTGAGCCGCCGGACGAATGTGGAAACTGTATTTGGTGGCCATCCGCAAGTTGTCCACAGCGGCGGCAAAATGCTGCACCTGAGAACTGCACTCCAAATAAAATGTTTTATATAAAATTACAGAGCAAAAATTATTTGTGTTAACATCGTGCTGTTATTACTTTGCTGTTTTTTAATTTTCTTTTTATTTCTTCGAAATCTAGTAATGCTTAAATATTTTAGAGTTACGGTTTAAATTTCATCAAAATCGGACGAATATAACTTAAAGCTTCCATGAGAACAATAAAAAATTTAAAAAAAAAAACAAATTTTGAAAAAATGTACCTTTTTTATTTTGTAATTTTTTTGTTTTTTTAATTCTTTTCGACTTAATAATAATTTGAGAGTTCAGAATTTCCTTTTAATTTTATTAAAATCGGAAAAGATATCATATAGCTGGGATAGAAACTATCGAATAATTAAGCTGCAAATCATCATAGCTGCAATGTTTTTGAACGTATACGCAAGTTAATCATTAGTTTAATGTTTTCAAGAATATGCAATAGCTGCAAGCGTATATGAACTTCGGTTTGCCGAAGTTTGCTTTTTTCAAAGTAATACATTTTGAATCTTTTATTGAAAACCAAGTTCTTAGATGATGTTAAATTCAATGCAGGCCAATTTAAAATAACAAAGTCAATTTGTAGTTTTGTGGGGCACTCCCGTGGAGTTCCCTAAATGGCAGAACAACTTACCCTAAGGGATCGTGCTCCTCCTCCTGATCCTCCTGAGACTTTTCGGCAGTGGTGCCGTTCACCAATTTGACGCGACACCGCTGTGGGCCGTAGTTTTGCATCTCGCAGTAGAAGATCTGGAATGCCAGAGCCCGGGGCGGTTCCACATCGACGCTCATATTTGTCGCGTTCACCTGGCCTGCTCTGGAGTTGGAGCTGCCGAAGTGGGAGCCGGAGTTGGGGCTCGAATCTGTGTCATGGGCCGTCGGCACGAATTCAACTTCCCAGGTCAGATTCACCGATTTGTAATTTGGTTCACCGGCAACGCCGCGTATCTCTATCGAAGGTTACAAAGGCATGAGTATGGGCAGCAAACGGGAAAACGGGGTTATAGCCAAGATTCGTGGCCATAGTACAGTGGCAATGGCAGTTGGAGTTGCAGTTGGAGGTGTTTCTTGCATGCAAATCAGCTACCACGGTTACCACAAGACTATACAAGTACTAGAAGTGAGTTCGGGGGCAAGGAACTCGTTTCAGACACGCTTTTGGATTAGTTCTGTTTCATTCGTTCGGCTTGATCGTTTTTGTGGCCACCACTTAGTGGCTGTTCCCACTGGCAGATCGGCAGAAGAAGATCTGAAGTGTGCTGCCAGTTGGAGTCCCCAGTTCACCACTTCTCCAGCTGCGAGTGATGGGGGATCTGGCACAAAGTGTGACGAGAATTAGCCAAGGGGAGCTGGCAGTTAAGGTGGAATAAAAACAAGACCTGACCATGATGCTGGGCGGCTAATGGGATGGGGGGTATAGCCCAGGAACTTGTGCTTCAAGCAGGAGCTTGAAATGCCTTTAAGAGCTTCAGTTGAACACTCTAAAATGTAGCGTCAAATGTCGACTTGTCGGTTCATTGGAGCGCAGTGATGGTGCAACTTCCAAGTCTCCCAGAACTTACCCCTTAAATGTGTAGCTTTAAATTCATACTTCAAATGATCATAACAAAATACATAGGTATATATTAACTCTGTAGTATTATTTTTTGTGCTAATTCCCTTCTGTTTATTTGACTTTAGTGGTATACTTTAAAACCCAAATTTTATCTTAAGCAAATTATAATTTGTTCAATCAAATCTAGTTATTTAAGCAATCGAATTATTATACTTGTTACATTATCTAAGATGGCCAGCATCAGTCTTTAAAAAATTTTATGAATACCAATTTTACCAAATTTCATAAAAAAAAGTAAAAACTCAAAACTTCACTTACAATTAATCATGTTTCCTTATTTTTATTAGACAAAGTATCCTTTTAGGAAAACAAGTTTTTGTCATGAGTCAATTCAAGTAATAATAAATTAACTTAATATTATTTTCCCGCAAACAGTACTGGTAAGAAATTTATTTATTTTTAATCTAAATTCAAAGTTTTATCACAGTTTTAAGGTGCAGTGCTTTTGGCTTTCTTCTATATACTTGGAAATAATTTTTCTGCCTCTAGTTAATAAATAAGTAATTACTTTAATTTTATAAGCCTGGGTTTCTTTTACAAGAAAACTCCCCTGGCGAGTCTCCCAGCAATAAATCCCTGATCAATAACCCATTAATCTCGGCGCCGAGTCCTAGTAAATTTTCAGTTTTCCGTACCCACTTAGCCCCGATTTCCAGGCGATTTCCCAAGACAGCCAGCTTTGGTGACTTCTTTTGAGCCAGCAGAACCTTGCATAATCTGCAATTAGAAATGCCATTTGCCGCAGCTCGTTGGTTTGAGTTGGCCATGTTGCCGATGCGGGCAATGTTTGCAGATGTTGCTGCTTCGTGTGGCTGTCTTTTCCATGCTTTTCCCATGTTGAAATCATTGACACCGATTTTGTGTGTGGCTGTGGATGGCGCGGCGGCAGCATTTTTAGGCGAATTTCGCACAGAGAACATGGAAAAGTAAAAATTCTGCAATGGCACAAATTCTGACATCGGGGCTACGGCGAGATGCCACTGCTGCTATGCCAACAAAAAAAAAACGAAAAATGATTAGAAAATGCCACGGAAAATGACAGGCACTCCAATTGCAGCATCGCTGTGATTAATGGAAATCTTGGTCTTGGGAAGCTTATCGATGACGGTGCACTAAATTTCGGATAGGCCATATATTTTTAGAGCTGTCACTGCGATGTTACGCAAGAAAGGAAGGAAGTGGCTTAGAGATTCATTAATTTTCGATTGCAGCCGGGAAGTTCTGTAATAAAAGATCGGCCGATAAATTGTCATTGCTCCCATCATTTGGCCAGATCAATCTTGATCTGTCATCGTTTGCCAAGTTGATTGCAGCGCTTTGGCTAATTCGATTAGAGAGAAAGAACTGGCCGAAACGTGTTTTTTGTGTCCAACACAATTACTGGCATTTTACCCCGGCATAATGACACTTTTGCTCTCCATCGAAAATGGGCATCTGGGCAATTTCCGCTCTGCGGTTCTGGGCGTGCCAGCGCCCCCTTTTTAGCGGTCAAAAGGAAATGTCGGCACATTTCCAGCATGCCCACATGATTGGCACACAGTGCAACAGAAAAAGCAGGACCGCCGGACAAGTTCGTTGTCTGAGTCTTTCGTTTGCCACCAAGGGCAGACGTAGCGAAAATACCTCAAGGAACATAACTAGGTTCAGGGAAAAAAGCGCACCGATCGTGACCAAATGCAATTAGCCAGCCTTCAACTGACAAAGGCAAACAGGGAAATCGACACTTTTAGAAAATATGATTTTATATTCAATGTACAAAATCTAAAAAGTTTTTGATAAATTTAAATGCCGCCTGTACTAAATTTTGTGTATTTGGCTGCATTATATATCCATTCGTATTAATTAATAGACATCAATCTTAAATGCTGAGAGTTTTGAATTTGAAATTTATAAATCACCAACCTTGCATTATTTGTCTGCCATTTGTAAAACTTTTATATTGTAACCAGAAGAAAAAGGAATAATTTTGCTTTTTATTAAAATCAATTCTGAACTAAATAGTTATCTGAGACTTTGTCTCATCACCTTGCTTTTTTTACTGCGAATTTTAAAAATTGATTTTACTTTCCGTTTAAATTTGAAAAAGTGTGGACAGAGCGTAGGACTGAGATTTAAAATTTGTAATGTGTTTTATACAAAAAAAAGTTATAAAATTTAGCTCAGTAGCTGAGACCTTGTCTATTTACAAGCAATTTTGATAAATATGGATATTTTTACCTTTATTACTCAAAAATTGTTTATCTTTTATATTAACTATCAGCTTTTATTTTTGTGTGCGGATGTCTTATTTTTTTTATGTGTAGCCTGCAACCGCAGACTTTAAGTAGCTGCATCTGCAACTCCAACTGGCCCTGCGACCGCCTGAAAATGTATTCCTTGGCTTATAGGACTCACCATATTTGCTGGCAGCCTTGGCATTGGCATTGTTGCTACCAGCAGCAGATGTTGCTGCTGTCGCCGTTGATGTTGCTGTTGCTTTTGGTGTTGCTGCTGCCGTTGCATTGTTTTCGCTGCTGTTCTTGGGTAAGCGGACTGGGGAGGCTGCCGGCAGCAACAGCAGCAGCAGACACAGCAGAAACATGTTGCAGCTGCCGTGGCCTGCCATTGATTTCGTTGACATTATTTTTTCGGTTGATTTATTTTAGTTTGCTATTTGTTCTCATCAAATGTGTGTCAGTCGGGAGTTATTGGGCGATTGGTCGTGAGGGAAAATGCAAGTGTTGCCAGGGGGTCACAAATAGTGTGTTGTTTTGGTTTTCAAGTAGTCTTTTAGTTAGAAATTTTTATTTATTATATTTTTTCTCGATTTTTGCTAGTCAGAATGTACAGCTCTAAAAAAACAATTCTAGTTAATTGCCAAATTCAACTATTGTCCGCAAATAAATCTCATTTGTCACAGCACAAAAATCATAAATAGTCCAATTGCCGTTTAATTCTATAGCTTTGATTTCCGATTTTTCCGGCACACGAACCGCTTGCTTTAACCTGTGCCGCGCAACTGACTCGGCGGGTTAAAGCCCGTCCAACATCTGGCCAAATCGGATCAGCTGTTGGCCATAAACGAAGTCGAAGTCTCAGCCAAAGACGAACCAAAGCCAAGGCCGAAAAGAAAAGCTTTCGCCGGAGCTTTTGCTCTCTCTCTCTCTCTCTCTCTGTCTCTCTTTCTCTTTGGGGTGAAAATTTTGGAAATGCCTTTTCTTTTATCAGTGGTCGCTTATCAGTTGACAAACAGTTCGGTGTTTTGTATTGTTTCGGAAAGGCTAAATTAAAAATCCATATATCGGGCCTAGCTTTTTTCCATAATTAAGGCGGCCAGGTTTCATACATTTCGTTGGCCTCTAGATCATCACTTTCCCTTTTTCTCCGAGCTCTTGTGGCCCATTGTCTTGTGGCTTTATTTTGCTTTCTTTGTTGTTGCTCTCCCCAGCTTGGCCGCTTTGATTAATGCTTAATCAGCAATATTATTGTTATTAGGTTTCTATAGCGGGCCAGGGTAGCATTATCATAAATAATTTGCCAGTCGCTTTGTGCCGAGCGCAGTAAATTATTAACTTGAACACTAGTTTCTCTGCCACAAAAGATGCGACAAAATAAAATAAGCTGTGAAGTGCGCAACGAGTGGCATAATGAGTATCTGTATCTATAAATAATTGTATAATTGCATTTATTCCATAATCGAGGGCTGTCATTGAAGGTAACTGACTGACACCTAGCTTTTACAAATAAATGCGACACCGGTTCAGTCAGTTTCTTAATTAATTTAAAAATAATAAATATAAAAGTTGGCAAAGCCTTTGTTTCTTAAGCAAAAATGTTTTGCATTTTGTACTCTGTATTTGTAACTTTAGAAAATAAAAGCTAACAAAATTTCAAAACGATAAAAAATACTTTTGATTAATTTTTTATACAATAGCAAAAATATACATTTTTTTAAACATTTGTTTGTAAATAGTACCTAATTTGTTTTATTTATAAAAATTTGGTTTTTAATTTATTTTATTATTAAACAAGAATGAAAGCAAACTTCGGCTAGCCTAAGTTTATATGCCTTGCAGCTATTGCAAAATTTAAAAAAAATTAAAACATTTTTAAAACATTTTAATTTTGAATTTTATGAATTATCATATGAAGCTATGATGATTTTTAGGCCAGTTATTCGATGGCTCCTATGTCAGCTATATGATATTGTTTTCCGATTTAAATAAAAATGAAAGCGTTATATGACTTACTAAACAATTTACAAAAAAAAAAATTACAAACAAAAATTGAAAATTAGGGAACTTACAATTTTGTTTCATTTATTTTTTTAATATTCGTCCGATTTGGATAAACCAATACTATATCTTGAAAAATAAACAATGTAATAAGTCTTTAAAGCTTATTTAAAAATTAAATAAATTTTAAAATTCAAATTAAAAAAAAAATTGTAAATGTAAGCTTAAAAAAAAGTTTTTTTTTTAATTTTAAAACCATTTTTTTTGTTTTTGTTTTCTTAAGTTTAATCGAAATTAATCAGGCTCTTCTACCTTCAAAATTTTATTTTGATTTGCCCTTTGAAAAACCCCAACAGTTAACATTTTTATTAGAAGTAATTTGCTGCTTTTTGCCTAAGCTTTTGCCCCTTGATAAGGCTAACCATTTTTTATGGCATAATTTCCATCGCTTCCGCTCCGAAAAAAAGTTACTAACCCAGTGACACGCATGGTAATTTCCTGTAATTTATAAAATGCTCCTGTTCCCTGGCCACCCATTTATATGTTAATTAGATAGGTTAATATATGCGATGTGACATAAAGCCACCAAGTCTATTTTTAGCTAGTCAAGACCAGAGTTTCGTGAAATATTTGGTTCAATACCAGGTTCTGGATACCTGTAACGTCATTGTCCAAGGGGAATACGAAAAAAAAAAATATTCCAGGACTATACTTACCGAACATTAATAATGAAAGGCTACGCCCCAAAACAGAATGCCTCAAATCCATCAGGAATTGGAATCCCTCGACTTTCGTGCGCACTTGGCAACACATTCCACTAATTCTGCTAATTAAAAATTTAATGAGCCACTGCAAACTAAAAATACCGTCGACACGAAGCCAAAACAATTGGAACACCTGTTGGCCGCGTTAAATCCTTTGACGTGTTTCCCATGGGGGAAGGATATCGTCTAACAACCCCAAAAAAGGGATTCCGGGCACAAATTGAAATGTGTTTTCTATCAAAGCAGTTAGTCTGCAGACCGCTCGGGGGAAAATGGGCGGCCAGCAGCTGCAGTCTGGCTATAAGACACCCGAAAATCAAAAGCGTTTTTCCCCACACTTTTCCATTTAGCTTATGCCCGAATGTAGGCAGCGAATGTCGTTCCTGTGCGGCGCATAATTGAGTGGCGACCATCATTGTCGACGCCACAGTAAACGCAAACTGATTTGCATACCGCCACCAAGTCCAAGTCTCGGTCTGGCTTTAACTTGGGCACCGGGCTCATGTCATTAGCAGTCTTCCAGGGGGCGGTGAAATTTACATGCCAACGCGTGACACACGCGGCGTATGCGCAACGCTCTCCGTAAAGCTAGGACAAGTGCTGTTCCTTTGGCCTTATTCCGGTGAAATTTGTGCTTCCTGTTAAGGAAATTCCATCCGGATATCGTTTTTCTTGTTCTTGCTCTTTATTCTTTACACTGGGCAACAACATTTGGCCTTGGAGTTTTTACTTTATTACATCGTTTCTCAAGCTAACAAATATTTCCTATTTCAAAACTTTTTAATACCAAAAACAAATATAAATTTTTAACTACTTTTTAACTTTATCTTAGATGAAACAATATTAACAATTTTAAAAGGTTTTTTATTTTTGAATTGGAATAATTATTGCCAAGAACGCAGTACAAAAATGAATTCATTCCGTGGACCTCATAACTGGGAACTGATTTATTTAAAAATTCCATTATTTTACTTAAATAATAAGAAATACAAAATTAAAGCTTTGGGCTTTGGCATTGGCTGAATTAATGTAATTTGAAACCCACTTAAAATATAAAAAATAAAGAATACGAATAAAGAATTAAAGAATAAACCGTATTCTTTTTTAGCTCTACATTTGACATCTGATACCATTTTCACAACATATTGTTCCAAAATTTTGAAAACAAAGGACTTTTTGAAATTTTCGAAAGGTATTTGTACTTTTCCATGATAATTGGGTGCCCCTGAGTGAAAATCTCATATGTCCCAATGGGCCATGATGTCACAGCGACTCGAATTCGAAATTAATCGATTAAAACACTTTTTTGGCTTAGCGTAATTTAAATTAAAGTCTGAAATTTGTGTAGTCATACTACCCATTGTGTCATATATAATCATATCTTTAATCTTAATGATATCTTCAATTAGAGCCGTCAATTTTCGATTGGTGGACCTTTCTTAAATAAATGTTTGACAGCACTGGTGTCACCAGAGTCCTTTCTTTCCCTCGCCTCCTTTTCGGCCAACTGGCAGTTGGTCGGACTGCGTTTGTTTGAGTTCCCCGCCTATGTCCTGCTGGCCCGCTGCCTGGATTACATGTCTGGGGCACATCAAACAAGCTTACTTACCAATGACCTCGTTAATGGCGAACACACAACCACTCGCATACACAAACACAGTCAAACACTCGCACACACGCACACATAAAACCGAAAAGGCAACTTTGTGTGCGTTCACCATGCTGTTGAGTTTACTTTGTAATTTTCGCTTATCTGATTTATTTTTATTTTCATTTTTGATTTTTTGTCAGCTGGCACACAATACAATCAGGCTAGCGGCAAATTGTTAGCAGTTTGAACAACTTTCGCTTACCCTCTAAAACTCAATAATCAGAAGATGTAAATAAAAAGTATCTACAGATAGTAAATTTTCTTTTTTCGCAAATTTAAAAGCTAACTTTATTTTTAATTACTTTTGAATGTGACTATTAATATATACATCACTACATTTTTGCATTTATTTATATAAACTTTACTTTATTAAAAGGCCAACAAATTAAATTTTCAATTTTTCTATAGTTTTTCTTTTATTCTTTGATTATAAAAACGATTTATCTCACATTTAATCAGGAATATGCTATGTTTAGTAATTGAACATTTTAAAAATATTTTTACAAAAATCACAAGAAAGTAATTATTGGATATGAATTGTTCAAAAATTAAAAGCTTTCGCATAAAGCGTTACCAACCTATGTTACGTTTATCAATTCTCTCTAGGAAATAAAAACATTCTGCTTTATAAGTGTATTAATGGCATTACACCATTGTGGGCCAATGCTGACGTAGTCCCCTTTCTGGATCCCGGCACAGTTAAAGTAATTGCCTAGCCACTGTCGCAATCGTAATAAAAAAGCGCCTGATTGCGATGGCTTCCTTTTGTACCCACATTGGTATTTTAATGAACAGCCCGCTAATAACTATGACAATATGTTTGATCATCATTTGGAGCACCCATTACTATTGACATCACTGTGCAGTGGCCCTTGCCCTTTTGGGGCAATAAAACAAGTGCACATATGTGGCATTTCGATACTGTATTTATCTCATCATCATCATATAACCATTAACACATGCTCTAGGTAATTACAGTATACTAAGTTTAGTTAACTATTAATTAATTGGTCGAGCGCTGCTGCTTTGTGTATGGTTTCCGATAATCCATCCATATTTTCGCCAGTTGCGGGTGTTCTCTGCGCTTCAACGAAAGCAGCCCAAAAGTATGCTATTCAGCGTTTACATTATATTTAAATAATACTTGTGTGTGTGTGGGTGGGTGGGTGTTTGAGGGTGTTGATTGTGGGTGAAAGGTAAAGGTATAGGTATAGGTATAGGTAACTACATATACATAACGAGGAGTATTTGTAAAATTAATAGTTACAAAACTTGTGGAATCAACGCAAATCAAATTTACATATCAAAGGAATTTTTTGTTACACAACTTAACAGTGAACTACGTGCTAAAGGTGGTCACTAGACTGGTGCTTTAAAGCTGTGAGTATGTTCCAACAATTTTCATTCAAACTGTACCTTGAG